GAGGAAATCTGAACGTCGCGATAGACGACCTTGTCCTACTTGTCCTCGAGCTCGGTGAAGTTCGAACGGAATACATCTTCCACCGAGGTCAAACTCACCAAGGCCCTTCCCAGACAAGCCTTGGCGTAGCTGAACTTCTGGACGTCCGACATCGACCCCAACATACCCTCGGAGGTCGGATCCCAAGCCATCAAGGGGACCCGAGCAGCTTCAATCATGTGAGGCCGTTGGTGAAACTTATTGGGGATTTCTGGACGTTCCACGGACTGATAGTCGGTGAACCATTCAGGGACTCCGGGAGGCAGGTTAAGGTTGAGGACCCTTTAATCATCAAGGGGCAAAAAGGTAGAGCTCTTGTCTTGGTGCACGGGGGTATTCCTCTCCCCGAGAGTTAAAACAGGATCGTGTCTCATCTTGGACCGACGTTCCCCGGCGGTGTGCGGCTCGTCTTCGGGTTTCTTCTTGGATTTGCGCTTCTTACGGGCATCAGCCCTCTCCGCATCATTCTTTTCGGCCTCAGCGTCCTCGGCGCTGGACACGATGATATGAACGTCTTGAGGGGTCTCTGGGATCACCCCTTCCCCGAGGTCGGGCCGAGCCGGAGTCGTCACAACCAACTCGGTCCCCTGGACCTGCTCGGCAACAGGCTCAATAGCAGGAGGCTGGACCGACCTCGGCTCCTCTGTTGGAGGCTCCGACCTGATAACGGGGCCTGTGGTCGCAGCGCCTCGGTTAGCGGCGGCACCCTTCGCCTTCTGCAAAAACTTCAAACGACCCATCTCTATGTCTTTGGCAAATTGGAGCTGGACTTCGGAACTGGAAAGTTTACGTCGGGAACTGCCGGCGTCCTCAACTGACTTGAAACCGTGATAACCGAGGATTGGATAATAAACTGAGAAAATTCAGGTTGGAGAAATAAGACACGCAGGAGAAAACACAGTAATCTAGAAACCGAAGTTAAGGGTAGAACGAGTTAACTCACCAGGAACAAGCGTCTTAAAAGGGCGAGACGAAGAAAGCTCGGCTTTCGCTAACTCAGTTTCCTTCAACAGCTTGCGCCAACTGCGGTCGGAGTGGTGGACTCTCGCAAGATCTTGCAGTCTCGCAACAAACTCGACGGAGAGCTTGGGTTCCCTCTTTCTCCGGGCTACAAATATCAAAAGTTTCGACCTGTTAGCGAAAAGAAAAAACCGAAGTTAGGAGGTGGAAAATGGACCAAGTGAGAGGAACTTAGTGTAAACTTCAACAACTCGGTTCGGGATGATCATCCCATCAATCTTAGGTTCCTTAAGGAAGTCGGCCGACTCCCAATCACCGCCAACCCAGAACCACTCCTCCTGAAAGCCATGTAAGGTGTCTGGGATGCCGGTAATCAGTTGACCGACCTTCAACTCCCCTAGTGCCTTAGCGGAGCAGAAAAAACAGCCAGAGGGTGGCACGCCGTCACGCTCCCGACTACGCTTGAAGAAAAAGACGCTCCGAAACTCATCGATCGACGGGAACGGCACCTTGATTTGAGCGCAAAGGACCAAAACCCCGATGATTTTCTTCCAACTGTTGGGCGTGATCTGGGAGATGCCGATCCCCCAGTCCCGAAGGTAGTCGATAATGATGTTGGGAAGAGGGAATCTAAGCCCCGACTTGATGGTTTCGGCAAATACACCTACACACCCGGGAGGAGGAGAATGGATTCTCTCGCCTGGATACGGAGCAAACATCCTCACAGTGGGAGGAATCCGCGCCGACTTCCTCAGTAGCACCACGTCGGCGTCTATCATCGTGCTGGGTTCGCCCGGGAAGGGGACGTTGAGGTCGGCCCAACGTCGTGGGGGACGATTCCAGAAGCCTTCACGGACAGGGAGGTCACTTTCCACTTCGGCGTCGCCTTCGTGGTTGTTCCACCGCAAGACCAGACGCTCGGCCAATAGCGGATCCCAGCGATAATACCCCAGCGCCAATTCTAGGTTTTCCTCCTCGTCAGAGACGACCTCACGACCAACCTCGTCGGAGATCGTCCTGCTACTACTATCCGCCGCTTGTTCTGTCATTTTTTCTCGGCGGTCGGTAGACTCGAAGCAAAAACAAAAAGAGAAAACACGCTAACTAATCAAGGGTTGAAAGGAAAGAAAGAAAAAGGACTTACCACAAGCACACAATCGGATCAGGGACGTCGAGAACAAGAGCCGTAAAAAGTAGAGAGAAGAGTGAAATCTAAAACGAGGGTTAGGCGGAGAAAAAGCTGTGTGATTCGAGAAGGGGGAAAAGGAGAAGTATTTATACTCAGACGATGTTACCGTTACAAAGATAACCGGCGATTCGCGAACCGCCACCCTTAAAGATAGAGACGCTCTGCCTTGTCTCAACAGAAACACGCGGACAAATGAGTGTCCGCCACGTGTCGAAACTGTCAGAGATCGTGGGAACGTGCAAAGAAAGGACACAACCGCTTAAAGTCAGGGGAAAACGAGCGCGTCGAGTCGTGTCATCACGCGCCACGTTGAAGAGCTCATAAACCGCCAGATGGGAAAAGTCACGTTTATTGGCTAAGTGTAAGAGGTCGGGTGAGATCCCGGCATAGGAGGCACAAATAAACACTGGGAATGACATTAAGGCGGACTTAAGTATAAGTCCCCCTCAATGTCAGGGGCCTTAATGTTGACCAACAAATTCGCTCAGGCGTTGGATGAACGACACGTGGATGACGAGGAGTTAAAAGGAGGCACGCCGAGGATCGCAGGGAGAATGCAAACCGACCTGTGGAAGCCGACCTTGACTGGATACCGACCTCATAAACGAAGCAACCTCGGGCGCCGGCCGACGTCGGAGCCAACAGGCAGCATTTAATGCCTGTCCATCAACTATACAAGGCCCATGTGGAGACATCATTGCGTAAAGGGGGCCCACGGACAGAAAAGCTGCGCAGATGTCATTCCGCATTAAATGCCGCCGAATCCCCTAAAAAGACGAGCCCCCAGTTACTATAAATAGCAGCAATAAAGGCAATACGAGGATCTTCGTTTTTTTTTCCGACACATAAATTCCGCATTAATCACCTCGGTTCTAGCTATTTCGACATCATTGTACCATAAAAAACCGACCTTAAAACCTTGAAAAACCGACTTAATATTGTCACGAAAACTTTTCAGTTATTTAATAAAAACCATCTCATTACCGCATTAATCTAGAAGTTCGATTATATAAAGTTGATCAAATCCGTTTATCAACACTTCTGATTCTCCTGATTGTTCTTTTTATAAATAAGTCCCTATTGCTACTGAAAAGTTTAATTTGAATCCTCCTAGTAATTTTGGAACATGTGCAATTGTAAAGAATGAGAAGTGTTCTGAATGGATCCTTGATAGTGGAGCAAGTGACACGATGACGTTCGACCCTGGTGATTTTGTGGCCCGATCGGGTCCTCACAGACAGTCAATATGTGATGCTAGTGGTGCTGTTGCTGCAATTGGAGGAGCGGGGACTATTGAGATCACAAAAAATTTGCACCTTAAGAATTGTCTTTATATCCCGTCGTTGCCCTTCAAATTATTGTCTGTTAGTCATGTGACCAAAGAACTTGACTGCTATGTGCTAATGGCTCCGACTTTTTGTCTCTTACAGGATATCCGGACAGGGACTTTAATTGGATGTGGCATTGAGCGTGATGGGTTGTACTATGTGGAAGAAGTTACCCAACCAGGTGTTGAGGCTTTAGCTCATGGTTCCTCTGAGAGGCAGGTTTGGTTATGGCATAGACGGTTGGGACACCCGTCAGTGGGGTATCTACGGAGTTTATTTCTACATTTTTTTCCCAGTAATATTTCATTCTCTTGTGAAACTTTCATTTTAGCGAAGAGTCATAAAAATTCATATCCTGTGAGTGAGACACGTTGTGAAACTTTGTTTGGTTTGATACACTCCGATGTTTGGGGGCTTGCACCAAATTCAGTAAACAGTGTGTTTCGTTATTTTGTTCTTTTTATTGATGATTGTACTCGCACTACCTGGGTTTACTTTCTTCAAAATAAATCTGATGCGTTACAAAAGTTTGTTGAATTGCATGCTTTTGTTAAAACTCAATTTCACACTGATACTAAAATTCTTCGTTCTGATAATGGGGGGGAGTATGTCAATACAGCCTTTGATCTGTTTCTTCGGGAAAAAGGGATTACTCACCAAACCACGTGTCCATATACTCCCCAACAAAATGGGGTAGCTGAACATAAGAATAGACTTATTCTTGAAATTACCCGTGCCATGCTTATTGAATCCCAGTCACCTACTTTTTTGTGGCCTGAAGCTGTGGCTACGTCTGTCTATTTGTTAAATCGCCTTCCTACTAAGGCACTTGCCATGTCCACCCCTCTAGATGCTATTTCCACTATGTGTACTTTGTCGTCTGTTTTGAGCCTTGAACCTCGTGTTTTTGGTTGCACAGTCTTTATCCATGTTCCTAAAATACATCGGACCAAGTTTTCCCCTTGTTCTGTCAAGTGTGTGTTTGTGGGCTATGGAAAGTCTCAGAAGGGGTATCGGTGCTATGATCCTGCTACTCGTCGGGTTCATGTTACTCTTGACTGCCATTTTCTGGAGACTGAGTATTTCTATGCTTCCCAACTCAGTGGTCAGGGGGAGAAGGTGAATGACTCACTGACTTGGTTAATGAGGTCCAGTAGTGGTGAAACGACAAGGAACACTGCTGAAGAACCCATAGTACAGTCAACGCCTCATTCCCTGTCCGGAGATCCTCCCCCATCACCCCCTGTAAGTCCTCCTATGAGTCCCTCTTATATTCCTACTCAGTCCAATGATGGTCCTAATCCTTCTCTTGAGGTTTCTCGTGATATTCCGGGGAATACCGTGGACGAAGAGACAGGTGGTGCTGACGAGCATGTAGATGTGCTTCCAGAACGTTATGTTTTGCCACCACGGAACAATAGGGGGGTCCCAGCCAAACGATATGAACCAGAGCATGTACCTAAAACTACAAAGTACCCAGTGGCTAATTATGTCAGGGGGAGTGAGACGACCATGGCTCAAGCATTTAGTCTGGCTATTTGCTCTGTGGAGATCCCGAGAAATGTTGAAGAGGCTCAAGAACAGGAACTGTGGCAGAAGGCTATGGATCTGGAGATGGAGGCTCTTGTGGAAAATGGTACATGGGAAAAATGCCAGCTTCCGCGTGGAAAGAAAGTGGTGGGGTGCCGCTGGGTCTATACCGTCAAGCATAAGGCGGATGGATCTATAGAAAGATATAAAGCGAGATTTGTAGCCAAGGGTTACACTCAGACTTATAGAGTGGACTACTCAGAGACCTTTTCACCAGTGGCAAAAATTGACACAATTAGGGTTCTATTCTCCGTTGCAGCAAATCTGGGATGGCCCTTACACCAGTTTGATGTGAAAAACGCGTTCTTGCACGGTAACCTGAAGGAAGAGGTGTATATGGAGCCACCACCTGGGTTCTCACAGTCGTTTGCACCAAATGAGGTGTGTCGGCTGAAGAAATCACTCTACGGGCTCAAGCAGTCTCCACGAGCATGGTTTGGACGATTCACTCAGGCGATGAAGAAGTATGGGTATAGACAGAGTCACTCTTACCATACTCTGTTTCTCAAAAGGAGGAAGGGATATGTCACATGCTTAATTATCTACGTGGATGACATGATCCTGACTGGTGATGATAAGGAGGAAATGGCACGGGTTCGTCAACAGTTGTTCAGAGAGTTCGAAATGAAGGATCTCGGGCCTCTTAAGTACTTCCTTGGGATAGAGGTCTTGCGCTCTGACAAAGGGATCTTTATTTCTCAACGGAAGTATGTGCTCGACCTGCTGGCTGAAACGGGGATGCTCGACTGCAAGCCAGCTGAAACCCCTATTGTCGTGAATCATGGCTTGAAAATTGAGAAGGATGCTGAGGTAGTTGACAGGCGGAGATATCGACATCTGGTTGGGAAGTTGATTTATTTTTCACACACTCGACCAGACGTGGCATATGCTGTTAAGGTGGTAAGCGAGTTTATGCACCAACCTCAGAAAGATCACATGGAAGCAGCTCTGCGGATTCTTCGGTACCTCAAATCGTCCCCAGGGAGAGGGGTACTGTATCGGAAAAATGAGAACCTAGATGTGGTGGGATACACAGATGCCGATTGGGCACGAAATCCAACTGATAGAAGATCTACGTCTGGGTACTTTACTTTGATAGGGGGTAATCTCGTGACTTGGAAGAGTAAGAAGCAGAAAGTGGTCGCTCTTTCAAGCGCTGAAGCGGAGTTTAGAAGAATTGCCAGGGGATTGGCAGAGATCTTGTGGCTTCGAAAGCTAATGGCTGAGATTGGTTTTCCCAGTAAGAAGGAGTGTGAGTTGCCGTGTGATAATAAAGCAGCAATAAGTATCTCCAAAAATCCGGTGCAGCACGATAGAACTAAGCACGTGGAAGTTGACAGGCATTTCATCAAGGAGAAACTCGAATCGGGTGTCATTCGGTTGCCGTTTGTTAAGTCCAGTGATCAACTGGCCGACATTCTCACCAAAGGAGTCTTAGGTCTAGTGTTCGAGAACGTTCTTGACAAGTTAAGTATATGTGATCCAATTACTTAACTTGAGGGGGAGTGTTGGAAAGAACGTACTCAACAAAGGAAAGGAATCAATCAAGATCAAATCAGAATCAGGGTTTTATTATGTAATACTTTCCTTAAGCACATGTTTGTAATAGCTTATATACAGGACTGTATTGGAGATTAAATTAAAAAAAAAATAAAACATAACAGAGAATGGAATTCCTTCCTTAATGCCTTTCTAATATAAATTAGTAGCAAAATTAATGAGATTTTAAATACAATTACGAAATATAGATGCGTGTGAAGTAAGTGGTCATCAAATCACTGAATATGAACAAATGTTATGGATATGAAATAAGTGGTCATCAAATATGCTCACTCAATATGGCTTCTCTTTACCGTCAACGCAAAATGATACTACGTACAATGCTCACACAACTACGGAGATCATGCTTGTGTGACTTCACTTAACAGTCTACGCAAAACAATACTACGACAATCTCTCACAACATTGTACTCAAACACACAAAATTCAAAGTGAGGTTATTTTGTTTAAAAACAAAGACATGCACATGTTTTATATTTTATTTTATATTTTTCGACTGAATAAAATGTCGTCAATCATCCACTAGAACTTTTTTCAACTTCCTCATTGAGAATTAATAATAAAAACTCTAAACAGTTTCAGCACCACAATTTTGTTAATTCGAAACACTTGGTGTTGTCTTGGATCTGTTCTTCAAGTCTTAGGTCGTGTTTGTAATCATTCGAACCCCTTGAAGCCATTTGATGTCATTGACGCCCTGAAACTTCAAAAATTCATTAAACATCGTGTACTGGTCCTATTAATCTGAAAATTGGAGGGTAAGCTCTTGTTATGATGAGGTATGTTGTGTTACAATTCCATCCTTTAATCCAACCTCTAGCTATCTGAACTGAAATTTGCTCTTTGGACCCTTAAATTTTGAAAAATCATATAAAATCGTATAATTGTCCTTTGGATCTGAACTTTTGAGGGTGTGTTCCTGCTATGATTATGTGTGTTGTGTTAAAATTTCAGCCTTTAACACGATCTATAGCTATCCGAACTGAATCTTGCCCTTTATGCCTTAAAACTTCGAAAAATAGTATTTAATTAGTGGATCGTCCATTTGATTTGAAAATTTGAGGTTAGGAGTATGTTATTATGTGTTCATTGATCTTAAATTTTAGGTCTTAATTATGTCCCTAGCCCTTTGAACCGAATTGTTGAGAATGAATCTATGTTATTATGTGTTCATTGTATATAATGATTGGAACGTCCAATTTATCTGAATTGTTGAGAATGAATCTATGTTATTATGAGGAGGTTGTTGTTGAACTGTCATTAAAACTCCAACCCGAGCCCCTTGAACTGAAATCGTCAATTTTTTGGACTTTTTATTCAAAAATTCGTATAACATGTTCTGGTGGGAGTTTGAAGTTGAAATTGTTAAGGGAAGACTTTGTTATGATGGTGAGTGTGATGTTAAAATTTCAAGTCGTAACTCTTAGCCGAACCCCTTGAATTGAAACCCACTCTTTGCATGCCGTTTTTGTTAAAAATGCGATTTACATGTTAGGGTTGTTCATTGAGGCTCATCTATGGTAATCTGGTCCTTCATTAGGTTTATTTTATCGTGTTAAAATTTTGTTGAAATTGGTCGAGCCAAACTCCAAAAGTCTCAGCTCGTGCCCGGGCCAAGCCCGTTGTGGCCAATTTTTGTTTTTCCCGTACTCGTTGACCGTCTTTCGTCCCTTTGACCTCGTTTCTGTGTCAAACTCATTTTTAGTCATTTTAAATGATTTTTCTAGGTTATTCCTTAAAGTCCAAGAGTTCCAAATTCCACAAAATTCCACGAAACTAGTTAGTCAATAATTTTCGAATTCTCATGAATATTCCTAAGTTTCAAGATAATATATTTATAGAATTATCTTGGTTAAATGTAGGTGTTTGAGGAGTCGAGACCTCGACCTACGACCAACTATTTGTGTGCTATCGCTTACCTCGATTTCCAGGTGGGTTTAGTAAATATCTATGCCTTAAATTCTTTATGAATATGATCAATGTATGCGTGTGAACCATGTAACCTATCGTTGGATGTGGTATCGACATTCAATATGGTATCAGTCATCGTCGTCTGCGGTTATTGACCTTCGACGGTGCTTATTATGAGGCAGTCTCTTTTTAACATGTCGTTGTGTGCGGCTATCGACCTTCGGCATGTACTCCCATTGTTGAGTGCGGTTATTGACCTTCAGTTGCTTTTGTAGGTGTACACATGAGTATTGTATGATGATTAGGAGATGTGATATTATGATTGATTCATGTTCATGCTTCGACCATATTATCTGTTATTATTTGATTTATGTGCATAGTGAGCAAGTGGTGTGCTCACTCCCATGTTTCCCCTCCCCCCC